CTGGGGCTGGGGCTGGAGCCTACAACCCAGGTAGGTGCCCTTGGCCAGAATCGAACCCAGGACCCTGCAGTCCATGGGCTGGTGCTCTAACCTCTGAGCCACACCAGCCAGGGCTTAACTTTACCTGTTAAAATGGAAAGTTAAGTAGGTGAAATGTAATATGGAATGTTCCCCTCATGGTCTTGGCTGATGGCCAAAAAAAAAAAAACGGTTTGAAGAACTGTTTCAAGCATTCCTGGAATTTCCTGCAGCTTCCATTACAAAGAAAGCTTAAATTAAACCTTTCATTTTTAAGATCAAGTTTGCGATTCAAAGAAACTATTGTGCCAAATGTGTATGGAAAATGGAATTTGCATCTAGATCTATTTCCCCAGCAGGATTTTTACCAGCACAGCATATATTTAAAGGGTTTTGAGACGAATCAGGACCCACGCCGTTGAGGACCAAGATGAGAACATTCTCCCCCTGCTCAGAAACCACAGTGTCCGGGCTGGAACCCACGCTCCACTCGGGGCCTCCTGCCTCCCTGCTGTCCCCACAGGGCAAGGGACACAACAGACTCCGGGGAGACAGTAGGCAGAGTTAAGAATACTGGCCTGGCCCGGCTGGGCCTGGCTCAGCGGTTGAGCGTGGACCTAGGATCCAGGCGATCGGGGTTCGAGTCCCGGTCAGGGCACGTGCCCGGGTTGTGGGCTCGATCAATGACTCTCTCATCATTGATGTTTCTGTCTCTCTCTCTCCCTTTCCTTTCCTCTCCTCTCTCTGAAATCAATAAAGATATGTTAAAAAAAAAAAATACTGGCCCAGACGTTTGCTGTCCCCTGGAAAGGCTGCTGAGCCTGTGACTCAGTGTCCACGTCTGTAAAATGGAGCCACAGCTGAGCAGAGGGAGCTATGGTGTTGGGCACAGGGCTGGGCACTCGGCTGGGCCTGCGTGGGGAGCTGGCTCTGCCCACCAGGCCATGGGGCCCTCGGGTCTGCTGTGCCCCGTTTTACAGCCACAGGCTTTGCTCACCCCCAGGTGCTGAGACTGCGCGCTCCTGTGCCATCGGGGCAGCATTCCTACCCCGCCAGCGAAATAACCAGGAATTCTACCAAAAGGAGGCAGCCCGCCTGCCCACGACTTAGGCTGAGCCCGTGCTATGTATCCGGGCATCGGTGCCCAGCGGGGAGCAGTCCCAGGAAAAGGGGGGGGTCCCCTCTCCCTAGCTGTCTGGGTCAGGACCAGCTCCGCAGGTCTCCAGCCTGCAGGAGGCGGGCGGGAGGCGGTTCCCTGGCAACGCCTAGGCCCACGTGACGGTTTGTTTTCAGTTACCCGGCAGCGTAGTGTGTTGGGCGCCGCAGCCAATAGCGGCCCGGCGCCCGCGCTCACCAGTTCCGCGGCGGCCAATCGGAGCAGCCCGCCCGGGCGACAGGCGGGCTCTGGGAGGGCGCCCGGCCCGCGGGGAGGGGAGGGGCCGGTTGT